ACCGTCCTGAAGCTTTGATCGGGAACTCACAATTTGTGTTTGCAGGTCAACATGGCCTCCGCCACAGGCAGCTGGTGAGTGACGTTGGCTCCGTTCACGTACTGGGTGATCCGGCCCACCACATCCAGGGGGTCTGAGGAAAAAGAACGGATCACGATGATGGAAGAGGAAACCTGGAGCCTCTATTTCCCTTTCCGGGCTCCCAGGTCCCTGCAAAGGTTGATGGGATGGGATGTAGCGAGGGGTGGGATTCTCCAGGAGGGAGGGGGAAACCCCAGAAGAGTAAGAGGCAACTCAGCCTGGACTCAGGGAGGCAACCAAATCATTTTGGGGCCTCCTACGCTGAATTTGACTCAAATGTTCCCGGAACAAGAATCCGAGTGGGGTGAGACTGGAGCGAAAGGGATGAAAAAGAGATTTCGGCCAAGAGAAGCTCATCAGAGCATCTTCTTACCTACTGCAGGTGGTTCAGGCTTGCTGAAGAGATCACGCCAAGAGGTGTCTAAAAACATATTGCTGTATCTGCTGTCCACGGAGCCCATGTATTTAGCGACCGGGTGAGATCCTGGCGGAGAAACGCAAGGAGGTTTATATCAACCAAAGGGCGGGCAGAGACGGAGAAAAAACGAAAATCGCAAGGGTGTTTCCTGATCGGAAAAAAAAATAAAATTCTCGATCGAAGCAAAGAGCGGAAGCAGAACGCCCATTTGGCATTTAGTCCTCGTTTAGTGACCATATGGTTTAGTAAGGGTTCGCCGTTACGGCAGGGATGAAAAAGTCAACTTGGCCACCAAGCCTTGCATTTGATAACCTTCGCGGGTCTGTACAGCAAAGGAAGACTTGGATTGTAAGTGCAACTGCTTTGCTTAATGGCCAAGCTGTGGTCACTAAATGAGGACTACCTGCAATCGGAGAAAAGTCGGGTAAATTTTCCGAGTTGGGGCCGACGGAACCGTCTCCTCTCGTTGACGGCACTTATTTTGGGATGATCGGCAGCCTCGGAGAAGCGACAGATCCAAGATCCCAGATCCCAGAGCAAATCTTTTTGTCACCACCCTGATCTCCAACCCTGATTTTAGCAGCCACCAGCCACGATTCTGTTAGTACCTAGAGGGATGATGAGGAACCTCATGTGGTTCAGCCAATCCGACGTCTTGTTTGCCAGCTGCTTCACGAAAAACCTCAAAATGGCGCTGAGATAGCTTTGGCCCCCGACCGACACCACCTTCACCGGACGGGGCATGGAGGAATTACAATTGCAACTGGAGACAGAGAGAAAGGGGAAAAAAAGTGTGTGTGTGTCAGGAGACTGGGTGCCTGGCTTGGCTTCTGGGGAGCTTCACAAGTGCTGGCAGACTCTTGATTTAAAGACCCTCCTGTAGGGGGGGAACCCAACGTGACGGGTCTGTGCAAGGGACTGCATCGGTGTGCCTGCCACTTTGAGAGGCGCGGTGCTCTTTTTGTATTTTTAGGGTCACAATGGAGAGGCAGGAACCCCCCCCCCTCTTTGAAATGGGAGAAACTGGGGGTCCCTGGCATCCCATAAGCCACATCCTGGTTCTGTTCCCCCTTTCACTTATTCAAGGCAGCTAAATAATGATCTGGAAAACAGATTCCGTCAAAGCTTCCAGGAGGGCGTCTTAAGCGCGCGACCGTGGAGTTCACGAGGAATGGCCACTAGAGGGCGCTCCAGAGCTGGAAGAAGGTACCCAAATCTCAAGGTTGATAGATAAGGTAAGGTAAGGTAAGATATAAGATAAGATAAGATATAAGATAAGATATAAGATAAGACATAGGATAAAAGATATAAGATATAAGATAGATATAAGAGATAAGATAAGGTAAGGTAAGGTAAGATTTAAGATAAGATATTAGATAAGATATAAGATAAGAGATATAAGATAGATATAAGAGATAAGATAAGATAAGATAAGATTTAAGATAAGATATAATATAAGATAAGATAAGATATAAGATAAAAGATATAAGATAGATATAAGAGATAAGATAAGATTTAAGATAAGATAGAAGATAAGACATAAGATAAGATAAGATATGAGATAAGACATAAGATAAAAGATAGATATAAGAGATAAGCTAAGCTAAGCTAAGCTAAGCTAAGCTAAGCTAAGCTAAGCTAACCTTTATTGTCATTTTTTTTTACTGTGGGCACAACGGCACACATCAAAAAGGAAATTTAGTTGACCGCTCTCAAAGTGAAACACATACATGACACACACCTAAACATACTATATACAACATATAGCGGCATCTTAGTGGATCTGCAAACCTGGCATCAAAAGAAAACCCGGGGAGTCGTCGAATTATAGATGTCGGTTTAGCGGGGAGGGATGGATGGATGGATGAGAGAGAGAGAGAGATATGATAGATTACATGAAAGATAATTAGATAGAAATAAAGACAATTATAGATAGAAACATGGATAGAGATAATTAGATGTATAGTGATAAGTAGGTGTATGTAGAGATAATTGGATGTAAGAGATAGATGAGAGAAAACTGGATATAGATTAGATCACGGATAATTAGAGACCAGAGATAATCACAGATAGAAATATGGATAGAGATATAAATATACAGGTAACTACGGCAGATCCATACTGTATATAGAGGTAATTTGATGTAGATAATTAGAGATAGGTAGGTAGGTAGGTAGGTAGGTAGATAGATAGATGATAGAGATAGCTAGATAGATGATATAGATAGATGAGATAGCTAGATAGCGAGAGAGAGAAAAAGAGAGAGAGGTAGATAGATAGATAGATAGATAGATAGATAGATAGATAGATAGATAGATAGTGATAGAAGGATATAGATGACAGATAGCTAGATAGTGAGAGAGAGAGAAAAAGAGATAGATAGATAGATAGATAGATAGATAGATAGATAGATAGATAGATAGACAGACAGACAGACAGATAGATAGATAGATAGATAGATAGATAGATAGATAGATAGATAGATAGATAGATAGATAGATAGTTAGAAAGATAGATGTTGGATAGATAAATATAGATAGACAGATGATAGATAGAAGACAGACAGACAGATAGATAATGATAGATAGATGTTGGATATAGATGATAGATGATTGATAGATAGGTACATAGATAGATGATAGAGATGATAGACAGACAGACAAAGATTAGACAGACAGACAGACAGACTGATGTAGGGATCTGAAGTCCAACCTCTCTTTGCAAGAGAGAGAAAACCTTCAATTGAGGCCGCGATGTTCTCTGCTATCTATTCTTCTAAAAACTACAGTCACCAGAATCTAGCTTTCTTGCCCCCCACTGCGAGAGGCACAACATCCAGGCAAATGATCCAAAAAGCTGTTGTGAACTCACTATCTCTGGATTCTGGTGAGCAGCGCAGAGAGGACGGCTTGCACTTCCACCGTGGAGCAGGTACAAACCACGGGCTTCTTCTGATCCTGCAGGAGATCGGCGACGTACTAGAAATAAAAGCAAGGATGCAGTCAGGCCAGGACGGGATGTGGCTTTGGGCTGGTTGCACACACGGCCTGTACACAGCAACAGACTTCCAGGTCTTTGTATTTGAGAAGCAGAATTGCGCTTCTCAAATAAAGGTCATGAAATAATAATTTGCCAAACCACGGTCAACATTTGCTGGCTGGAAACTGGGTTGTTGTCAAGAGATACAGGGAGAACCAGCAGCTTACCTGGCCTTGCCAGTCCACGGCATTCACCAGGATCACGTTTTCGGGCAGCGCGGCATCCGATATGAGGATCTGATTCAACTGGTCGTAAACCACCTTTCGGGGAATCTGGTGGAGACAAGCGAGCAAGTTTTGAAGGCAACTCAACTCAACTAGTCAACTCAACTCAATGCAAGGCAAGTTAAGCCATTCATCTCAACTCAACACAATGAAAGGCAAGGCAACTCAACTCAACAAGTCAACTCAACTCAAGGCAAGTTAAGCCATTCAGCTCAACTAAACTCAGCACAATGAAAGGCAAGGCAACTCAACTCAACAAGTCAACTCAACGCAAGGCAGGTTAAGCCAACTCAACTCAACACAATGAAAAGGCAACTCAACTCAACCAGTCAACTCTATGCAAGGCAAGTTAAGCCAACTCAACTCAACTCAAGACAACTCAGCCACTGATCAGATCCCGAAGAACATTTCCTCATTCCAAGATGAAACCAGGGGTGTTCAGCCCAGCGAAGCATATTCCCCCCTCTCCCATTCTTACCCCAACTGAAGGTTACCATCCCATGATTCAAAAGAGGAAGTTAATTCTGTTCCTACCACCATCATTCTTTCTCCCCAAATCCACCAAAGGGGGACTGAGCCACAGCAAGGGAGATCGTAGTCGTAGCTCACCTGCGTACTGTGACCTAAGTCTGGGGACCTTTCACTGTCGGAACTGTTGGTCCTTTCGCTCAGTGGCTTGGAAAGCTGACGTTCCTTGAGCGGGGTGCTGCGTTTCTGACGAGGGGTGTGCACGGTGCTGTCCATTTTGCTGTCACCGGGACAAGAACGATGGTAATTAATAAATTTAGCGCAGTAAAACCCAGGTAAGATAATCAAAGTGATACCATAGCTGGCCGATGTTGCTTCTCCTTGACGCTAAAGCCCAAAACAGGAATTCCTCGACTTACAATCATTTGTTTAGCGACAGTTCGAAGTCACATCAGCCCTGAAAAAAGGGACTTACGAAATGGAAATTGCCAACCAATTCGTAGTGCTTGGGTATGGTTAGGAGGGCACTGACTTTTCTAGGCTGCCCTATCTATCTTTCCTGGTAAAATACATGGGAAAATCCCATTGGAGGAAAATCCCACTTAGGGTTAGGTCGCCATGAACTCATAGAGCAAAATGGACATCGCCAACAAATTTGGAGTGCTTGGGTATGGTTAGGTGGGCACTGACTTTTCTAGGCTGCCCTATAAATGTTTCCTGGTAAAATACATGGGAAAATCCCATTGGAGGAAAGTTCTCCTACTTGAGCAGGGGGCTGGACTAGAAGATCTCCAAGGTCCCAGATTCTATTCTATTCTATTCTATTCTATTCTATTCTATTCTATTCTATTCTATTCTATTCTATTCTATTCTATTCTATTCTTCCCTTCCATTCTGCATTCTCTATTCTATTCTATTCTATTCTATTCTATACTTCTTATTCTATTCTATTCATTCCTTATTCTATTCTATTCTATTCTATTTTCTATTCTATTCTATTCTATTATTTTTTCTCTATTCTATTCTATTCTATTTACTATTCTATTCTATTCTATTATTTTATCTCTATTCTATTCTATTCTATTCTATTCTATTCTATTCTATTCTATTCTATTCTACTCTATTCTATTCTATTCTATTCTATTCTATTCTATTCTTCCATTCTGCATTCTCTATTCTATTCTATTCTATTCTATTCTATTCTATTCTATTCTATTCTATTCTATTCTATTCTATTCTATTCTATCCGCAGCCCTTAGCAAACCGGGACCAAAAAGCTCTTTAAAACTGGGCATGACTCACTTTCTAGCCACCCTGCTTAGTGACGGAAACTCTCATCCCAACGGTGGCGGCAGAGCCGAGGACAACCTGTCGTGCCGCAGATGAAAAATTGGCAAAGGAATCCAACCCAGTGTTTCCTTACCTAGGCGAGGCTATGCTTTGAAGGTCCCCCTTGCTGGTTTTCATCGGCGTCTTGACTTTCTCTGGAATAAGTAAGGTGGTGGATAGGTCCCCGTAAGCGTCCTGCTCGTTCCCCTCCTAGAGAAACGGGGGAAAAGATGCATTGCAGGGCTGATTTTTCTCTCCCCACCCCTCCCTCCAAAAAAGGGAATCTGCTACTTCCTAGCGCTCACCTGCATGTCTGTTTCGTTCACGCTGTCATCGGTTTTGGTCCGATTCGGTTTGAGTTTGTCTCCGGAAGAAGCTTCGATCTGGATCGGCCGTGGAAGAGGGGGGGGAAAAAGGGGGGGTATGAAAATACAAACAAACCACATATCCAGAAGAGGGCAAATAATGATGATGATGATGATGATGATGATGATGATGATGATGATGATGGAAGGGACCTTAGGGGTCATCTAGTCCGACCCCCTGCTCAGGCAGGAAACCCTATCCCATTTCAGACACATGGCTGTCCAATCTCTTCTTAAAAGAAAAGTAAGATAGCAGCTTTCCAGTATCTCAGGGGCTGCCCAAAAGAAGAAGTAGTCAAGCTATTCTCCAAAACCACCTGAAGGCAGGACAAGAAGCGACGGATGGAAACTCATCAAAGAGAGAAGCAACCTGGAACTAAGGAGAAACTTCCTAACAGTGAGAACAATTAACCAGTGGAACAACCTGCCTCCAGAAGCGGTGAGTGCTCCAACACTGGAGGTTTTGAAGAAGAGACTGGACAGGCATTGGTCTGAAATGGTATAGGGTTTCCTGCCTGAGCAGGAGGTTGGACTAGATGACCTCCAAGGTCCCAACTTTATTATTATTATTATTATAAATCCCTTTTTCCAGTGTCGTCGTAACTTCGAACTGTCACTAAATGAATAGTCGTAAGTCGAGAGGACTGCCTGTATAATCTCATACTGTGCTGTGTTGTAGGAAAATGTATTTCGTTCTCCTGTCGGAATTGAAATTCACTGTCGTTTCTAACGCTCGGAGGTCTGTTTTTCTGCAATATTTTTTTTTTTTATTTTATTTTCTTACGACTTACCGGGCTGCTGGCGTCTTTGCCAAGACTTCCTTTACTGTTCAGGCTTCCGATTTCCGTCTGGGAGCTTGACTGGGACATTCCTTCAAAGAAAGGCCTGGAAAACGACAATGCGGTGATCATTATTAGGATTAAATGAATTTATAACAGCTGCCCAGCTGATACACTGGGCGCCTTTGGGAGGTTCCCAGCTGTTTATGGTTTTCTACGAGCCCTTTTATATTTATTTTACTTGTTCGGTCTGGAAGGCTATATGTCTAAAATTGAAAGGGGCTTCTGGACAAGAATAAAGAAAGGCTTATAAATGTATTTAAAAGGGAGGGGGGGAAGTGAACTGGGAAAGGGTACTGGGTGAGAGTCTCGGGCCAGGAACGGAAGGTTTCGGGGTCCTTCAGATCCCTGCCCGTTCCATACGAACCCAAAGTTGGACCCCAAACTTTACACTGGGAAAATGCCATCCTCATCAATTTCCCCAAGAACAGAAGAGATTTTTCCAAGGAAAAGTTTGGAAGGGTTAAAAAAAAAAAAAAATCTCCCTAGAAATTCTAGAGCAGGGGTCTCCCAACTTGGCCCTTTGATGACTTGTGGACTTCAACTCCCAGAA